ACACAAATCTGGATGTGGTATACAATCATTGAAAGAATAAGGTTTCAAAATAGTTTTGAAAGGAATGCTAGAATGAATTAAAAGTGAAACAAATGGTAATATGTAGGAAACAGTATAAATTTTTATACCTAGTATCAGAAAAATGAACTACATAAATTCAGTAGGGTGATTTTTTTGGTTAACTCTAAGCCTAATTTGAAATAATAATACTATGTACAAAAGTATTAAGGTAAACATAGGTTTCAGTGATAAAAGCATAGCATCAGGAATATCGGAGATACAAAGTACAAGAAAAAGTCAAGATGGCTCCAGTGCTGTTGACCCAAGATGCAGAAAGTGGGGATGCCATTTACTAAGATAAGAGACATTGTTGAGAAGAATAGCTGGGGGATGCAGGGAGATCAGAATCAAGAATTTGGCTTTAGACATACTGAGTTTGAAGTACTAAATAGAGGAGTTGAATAAGCACTGAGGTATGTACATTCAGAGTTCACAGGAGAATTAGACTGAAGGTCTTCAGTATTTCATTGCTTTTTAAACAGGAGTGATTTTCTGTCCCCTTCTGCCCTCCTCAGGAAATTTTGTATTGTCTGCAGATATTTTTGATTGTCAGTTATGTGGGGGTGGGGAAAGAATTCTGCTAAACATCCTACAGTGCATAGGACAGCCCTTCACTTCAAATAATTACATGGTTTAGAATGTCAGTGGTGCTGACTTCGGTATATTTAAAGCAATCATCTTGGGAAGAGATGTACATAGAAGAGAAAAAAGATTGGGACAATGGGGAGGAACCAGTAAAGAGAAGTATAGCTGGAAGGAATGGCTAAGTGTGGAGAACTGAGAGAGTACTGTGTAGAAGTCAACTGAAGAAAACTGTTTGAAGAAGAGTGATTAACTGTATCCAGTTACTGGTTGGATGTAAAAAAGACCACCCAGTTTATCAGTGTAGAAGTCTTTGGTGCCTTTGACAGGAGCTATTTTGGTAGATGGTGATATTAGTTTAAATGGAATGGTTTTAAGAGAGGATGGGAAATAAGCTTAAACAACTTCAGAGTTTTTCTAGAAAGAGGAGCTGCTAAAATGCAGTTGGGAATTCCCCATTGGAGAGGGGGAAAGTGATGATACAGTGGAGATAGGGTAAATTTAACAAGATGCATTGTAAGCACATAGGTAAATGTCATAATGTATCCCCTGTAAAACTATTATATGCTAAAAAAATTAAAAAGAGAAATAGGATATGACCATGGAAGGTATATGAATTAGAGCAGAGAATTAAGATCAGTGAAGAATAGAACAAAGAACTGAAGTGAAACCAAGGGATTGGAAGGATCATCTCTCTCTCTTTCTCTCTCTCTCTCTAATAATTTACCCATTAAAATATACAATGAAATGAGTTTTGATGTATTTGCATTCAGCTTCACCTCATCTCATCACCCCTCAAGAAGCCTTGTACCCATTTATCCCCTACTTCATTGCATTTGCTGCCTACTTTGCTTCTATGGATATTCCTAGTCTGGATATTTCATATAAATGTAATTATTTAAAATGTGGCCTTTTGTGACTAGCTTCTTTCAATTATAATAATGTTTTCAAAATTCATGTTGTAGCATGTATCAGAACTTTGTTCCATTTTAATAGCATGTATCAGAACTTTGTTCCATTTTATTGCCATATTGTTAGTTGTATGGATATTCTACATTTTACTAATTCATTTGTCAGTTGGTTGATAGATTGTTTCCATTTTTTGGTTCTTATGAACAATGCTGCTGAAAACATTTATGTGCGTATTTCTGTGTGAATGTCTTTTTTTTTTTTTAATTCTCGTGCATATAATTAGGAGTCAAATTACTGTGTCATGGTCAGTCTGTGTTTACCTTCCAGGAACTACTAGACTATTTCCAAAGTTCCTCCATTTTACATTCCTACTAGCAATGTATGGGACAGTTCATTTTCTCCATATCCTGACCAACATTTGTTAATACTTAACCACTCTGATTATAACTTTCTAATAAATGTAAAGTGGGCTTCTATACTTGTAAACCTCCCATATATTTTATTATTCTAATAAAATCTCACCCCTTTTTACCAGTAAGTCTTTCTCTTCATTAAATATAGAACACATATGTTGAAATCAAACTATTTTTATAAGTACTTGAATAAATTGGAATAAGATAAAAATTATTTCTCTTTCCCATTTGTTAGTCCTTCAAAATTGGAGAAAATCTTGAGGGAACCAAGGGAGATTGTATTTTAAAAATTGTACAGGAGGATTTAATTTTAAAGCTGAAAACCATGAAAGGTATATAGACCCCATAACTCTACACAAAGATCTTTTACACTGGTGGTAAAAAATCCTACTGACTTCCTCTCACCCATCTCAAATAGCTTCATTGATATTGATTTAAGGGAGTATTATAATCCATTTAATAAAATAGGTTTAGAACATTATTTTTTTGTCACCATATATGTGCTTTTCTTCCCTTCAAATAGTTTTCTTAGATAATATTTTTGAGAAATATTGAATTTTTTTTAATATTCAGACTCTGAAATCTGCAGTTACAATCAAGTGCTTCTCATAGCCAAAAGATTACTGGTGATTTAAAGTTTGCTAGCATTTAATGATATACTACAGTTGTTTGTACTGAAAGGAACCATTATGCTAGATTCAAGTTCTAGAACATGGTAGCAAGAATCGGTTTGTAATGTCTGTTTCTTCTGAGTATGTGTCTTCTATAATAGATGCTAATTTACATCAGTATTATAAAAAGTATACTTCTGTGGCTTATTTAAAAACAAAAAAGAAAAGTTATTAGTCTTTTAAATTAATGTTGGCCTTGTTTCTAAATCCTGTCTTCCATTTTGTTCTTCTTCCTAACCACTCTAAAAAGTTAACAAGCCTTTGAAGAAACTGGAATAAGCTGTTATTTTATCAAGGCTTACAAATTCAGTGCTTTAATGTATTCTGTACTGTTTTGATTTTCAGTATTTTCTTAATTCAGTATTTGAACATGTGCATTTTATTGGGTGATACTAATTCATGAATGTAGTAAAGTTATTCCTCAATTATAATGTTACATGATCTTGGGTGTGTCATTCTCTAACACAAATTATGTGTAAGGAAAGTAGTTTTCATTAAACTCATAGCTCTGATTGCACAGTCCTACTTGCTTCTGATGTTGCAATATCAAAGCAAAGGGTACTTTCTTGTAAGGCTACTTTCAGAACTTGTCTTTGTATTTTCTCTAAACTATAAATGCAAGTGTATCCATTTGGAGGCCAGGTACCACATGTCACAGGTAACCTTACATGTATGCCATGAGAAAGTTCAAAAGCTATTAACAAAAAAAAGAAAGCCTATGGGAATTCAGAATTTCATTTTTAAATAATTCTCAAGATTTTCTCCAAGAATAGCAGAAGACTAATACATTTTTGGAAAGAAAATAAGTATATGGAGACTGGTTGTTTTATTTTCAGTGTGCTAATTACACTATTTATTTTGTGAGTGGATGTGATAAAATATTCAAGTGTTTAGTGTATGATTAAAAGTGGAATATAGATTTCTTTGGAGTTATTAAATCCATCATGTCTTTTACATACTGGACAAATCAAGTGTAATGAAAACCTTTTACATAGCTTAGCTTGTGTTCTGGTGCATTGACCTGCAAGAGAATATACTTTTGCATATACAGGCGAATGTTTTGCAATTTATATATACAAGAAGTTATAGGCATTAAAAATATTTTATTGATAAAAAATTTAAAAATAAAAATTTGCAGGGTTCACATGTGGTTCAAGTGGTAGAGTGCCTGCCCAGCAAGTATGCAGCCCTGCGTTTAGACCCCAATACCACACACATAGAAAAAGAAATTGTACAGTTTGTGCTCATAGCTTTTTTTTTTTTTTTTTTTTTTTGTATAATGGTTATTCCTGTGTTGCCCAGACTGGCCTTGAACTCTTGGGCTCAAGTGTTCCTCCTGCCTCAGCCTTCTGAGTAATGGGGAGTACAAGCTTGTACCACTCTACCTGGCACGCTCATAACTTTTAAATGCCATTATAGTCAGATATATATTCAGCATCTAGCCCCCAAAGTATGCTATAATCAGTGATACCACCAATCATTGCCATTTTAGATTCCATGTGCCTTATTCAGGAGCCTTTCCCTACCCTGACCACTGTACAAAGCCCATCATTTGCTTTCTCTTGGGAGCTTGGAGCTTCTATTAATTATGTCACTACATTATACATTAAGTTGGATTTGTGGACTCTTCTGAGTGTCAGTTATTTTTTTAACATTGTTAAAAATAAGATTTTTTTCAGACCACCTACTCAGTGACTGTTTTAGAACACAATTCATTGCAAGTTGGTAACTATCTTTGTGTGTGAGGCAGGTCAAAATAAAATGAAGTTATTTAACCTGGTATCAGAAAGTCATATGTTGACTTAATAACCACCACCATAGAGTATAACTTTAGCAAAGTTAAATACATTATCAAGTTGAAATTATTGATTTTTTAAATGTCTATTTTATTACAAATAGGAATTGAAAAGATGATGTTGAACTTAATTTTGAAAATTTATATATTTATCAAAAAGTAGAAAAAAGTAGCATTTCTTTTTCTTATAGTTTATTTAGCGTACTATAACAATAGAAAAGTACTTAGTTTCAACTCATATCAGGCTGACTTATTCATGACTGTGTCCTAGTCATGTTTAATTTGCCTTTAAATAATGTTATGAAGGATTAAATTAAAATGGGATCAGCAAGGGAATGGTTGATATGTGGATTTTTTTTCTTAAGCTTGAACTAGAATAGATATAGATTAATAAAAGGTATTCCCTAAAATCTCATTCATTTAGAAAATAAAGGCTAGGAATAGAACGTTTCTAATATCACTCCACCATTCATATGTACATATGTGGGGGGATGGACTTCCAGTCGAAGAAAAAAATATACACATACTGTCATTTTGATAGTAACTTTTTGTGTTGAATTCTTTCAGCTCTCTACACAAGGAGATGCAAGTCAGGTGATTGGGCCTCTTACTGAAGGACAGAAAAGAAATGTGGCAGTAGTGAATTCACTGTATAAGTTGCACGTTTCACTATCAAAGGTAACCTTTATTTTCATTTTAATTAGATTGTCTGACTTAATTTCAGGTTCAGGTTCTTTCTTTTCGCCTCAAATTTAGACAGTTTATGAATTATTACTTAGTTTTTTGGAAAAGAACACATTGAAAACACCATGATTGTAAAATTAGCTGGAGCTCTTTTTAAACAGTCTTTGACCCTGGCCTTTGTTATTTGTGTGCTTTTTGTCTGTATATTTGGTTTAAAAACACATGAAATGTAGACCTTCGAGTTAATCAGGTTTATTAAACAAGTTATTTAAGGGTAAGTCATTTATGTTTCATACTTTTAGTTCTGCTTACTTTTCTACTAAAGTATTTAAAAGAAACAGCTAAACCTTCAGTTTTTTGCCTCTTTATACAGTCAGCCTTCATTATCATTTAGGAATTAGTTCCAGGAAACTCCATCTATACTCCATGGATACCAAAATCTACAGCTGCTCGTGTCTCTCATATAAAATACCATAGTAGGTGCATATTACCTATGGATGTCCTCCTGTGTATGTTAAATCATCTCTATTTATAATACCAAATACAACATAAATGCTGTGTATATGCTCATGCTGAATAGTTCAGGGAACAATAACAAGATAAAGAAGTTACATGTTCAGTAGAGGTGCAAATTTTTGATCCACAATTGAATGAATTAATGAATGCAGAAGTCACATATACAAAGCAACAACTCCATTTTGATGAAGGTGAACAACATTCTTCATTATTAAGAAAGCAGTGCTTTAGCTTTGTCTATGACTTTTGAGTAGTTTATTCTCTAAGTCATAAAATACACTAGATTATATTTTAGGATAATTATAAATGACTTGTTTACTTAAATTTTAACAAATTCTTTTATCAGTTAAGGATTTTGAAAATATGTACTTCACATACTAAACAAAGACTATTTTGAAGAGTTAACTGGTAAATTTTAGAAAATAATCTTATTAAAAACATTTAACGATGTACCAGTGTTCCTTTAATCATTACTTTAAAGCACATAAGCAAGGGAAAATTGTACTATTTATTTAGCCTGAATTAATGTCTTTGTTGATATTTTGCATTGATTTGTAAAAATGGAAATACCTGACATATTTAAAAACTTGTTAAAATTAAGTGTCAGCCTAAAGCAAAGTATTTTAAAAGAAATAAGTAAATATAGCTTTACTTTCACCTTTTCAAGTGAAAACTTCATAATTAAAATTTAAGTGAATGAAGGAAAGTGAGTTTCTAGTATTCTTAATGTTTCAGTTATTTGAGATATGTACTTACTTTATATATGAAAGTAGTTTTCTTCTAGTGAGTGTTAAGTCATACATGACATTATTATAAAATAGAGGTAATTTATTTTATTATTGTCATGAATTTTATGCCTTTATTATTGTTGTTCTGGGAATAATGATAATATTTTAATACAGCTGTGGAAACAGCTTTGGCATGTTATGATCAAAATTAGTTTTAACAAAAATAAATGACTTAGACAAAACTACAATTGAATCAAAACCTTGTTCTAGGTGGTTTCCAGTCAGAGTTCATTCCCATCAGCAGCTGAGCAAACTATAACTTCAGCCCTAAAGGTAAATGAATTTAATTTAATCTTTAACTCTGTGCATCAAAATGGTTTTAGAATTGTTAGCTGAATAGTAGATGTTATGTTTTAAAGTTAATTCAGAATCCTCCATAGAGACTAAAAGTAGCATGTTGATAACTGTCCTAAAGAGAGAGGATACATATGTGTTTATATTTTGTAGAATTTAAAAATAGACCCCTTTAGTATCTACAGATTGTGCTGTACTTATAATAATTGCATACAAAGAAGTGTTTTCAAGTATTTCCTAGTATTGTCCTAGCGAAGCATTGGTTCTCTATCAGGTGGTTTGTCACCTAGGGGACATTTGATGGTATCTAGAGACATTTTGGGTTGTCATGACTAGGGGTGGGATGCTACTGACATCTAGTGAGTGGAGTTAAGGTGCTGCTACCCATTGTGCAATGAAAGGACAGCCAGCCCAACAACAAAATAACAGTAATGTCAGAGCTGAGGAACCTTACATTAAATGTATCTGTAAGGTATAAAATCAGGGTATATTCCCATTTTTTTAGTGTTTTTTTTCCTGGAATTTTAAAATTACCATACATTAATAGTACAATGGGGGTGGGGTGTCATCCTGATATTTCCATAGCACATTGTATACTTTGAACAAGTTCACTCCATCTATTATATTCCATTAGTTCCACCTCTGTCCTCTTCACCTCCAGTACCCTCTCCTTTCCTCTTCTGCCCACTGATATTCCCAGATAATCCCCCTTTTTCACACATGTCCTCCTTGTTGTTGTCTTCTCCTCCTCCTTGTCTTTCTCCTTCTCCTCCTCCTCGTCTTTCTCCTTCTCTTCCTCCTCGTCTTTCTCCTTCTCCTCCTCCTCCTCTCCCTCCCTCCTTCCCTCCTTCCCTCCTTCCCTCTGTCCTTCCTTCCTGCTTTACTTCTTCCTTCTTCCTTCTCCTTCATCATTATCTTGGGTTCACATATATATTCCCATTTTTAAAATATACTAACAAATATATTCCTTTTCTAGTACTTTGAAAATTTAATAAAAAATACTGATGTAAGATTCAAAGCCATATGTAGTTGACAGTAGGTAACTCTTAAAAAACAACCAAATAATTCTTATAATAGTAATAGATACCCTTATTTAGCACCTCTATTTGCCAGACACATGCACAGGCTTGTATTAAAATATTTCAGTAACCCTTCAACTTATAAATGCCTATTTTATACATTTTAGAAATAATAAGTTGCCCAAGATCATGTAGCTGGTAAATCCAGATCTCACTCATGCAAAAGAATTGTGCCTACTGTACCTTGCCACTGTAATTCATTCATCCCTTCTTTTACTAAATTTTATTTAGTACCTAACTAAAGAATATAGCAGAGATTCTGGAGCCAAATTGCCTACATATGAATCCCGTCTCAACTTCTTAACCAGTTAATAAGCTCTCTCTTGCCTCAGTTACTACATCTATAAAATGGTACATTATTCCTACACAGGTAGTAATGCAAACTATTGGATTGGATTTAGGCCACTAAGGAAGAGTTGAAAAGGTATGGGGAGGGGGTATGAAGGTTATAAATAAATCTCAAGGAGAAGAGAAACACATTGAGAAAGTAAAGAGGATACAGAGAGCAGTCAGAAAGAGGAGGGAAATTGAGTATTATGTCACAAATCCTAAAAGGGAGGGAAAATTTTTGAGACCAAATACTGTCCATAGGTCATATGGATGGGAATTTAGTAGGCAGAAGAATGGATTTGATTTATTAAGGATGAGAAGAGACAGCCCATCTTCTCCCAGCATAGGAAAGGTATACTTGGATGTTTTTCTGGCCCCACTTGTTTTCCCCAATGTGTTCATATCATTGTGATTAAATATCATGAAATATTCCATAATAAAATAAACGTTTAGTAAGAGTTATCAAATTTACTAATGATGATAATCATACGTTAAGATTGGGCCAGTATAACAAACATAAAGGTTTTTAAATTTAAAGAAGGGAGCAAATACTCTTCTATAGTTCCACATTTCCCCACTGTCTTCTAGTGCTAGCCAGCCAATGTTTTTTGATTACTTTGCAAATAGGAAGTTGTTTTACTTTATGACCCCATACATAATTCATAAGCATTTATAAATATAAGCACACATATGAAATGACATATATGGAGAATATGCCTCTACCTATTTCTATAGTTGACATAAAAGCTTCATAAAACCCTTTTTTGTGACACACTCTATTTCCTACACTGTTCTGTTACCTTTTTTGGCAGTACTGGAACTTGAACTCAGGCGCTCTACCACTTGAGCCACTCCACCAACTCTTTTTTTGTACTGAGTATTTTCAAGATAGGATCTTGCAGACTATTTGCTTGGACTAGCTTCGAAACATGATCCTCCTGATCTCTTCCTCCTTAGTAGTTAGGAGGCTACTCTGTTCATTTTTAAAACGTCCTGGGAGCATCTGGCTGATTTATTTTTTGAGTCCCTAACAGTTAGAGTCTGTAGTTTGAACAGTCCATTCTGTAGGTTAAGACTGAGTGCTTACTCACTTTCCCTGGTGATAAAAAAGATCTGGAAAAGTTAAATGTGGAAAGTCCTTGGAGACTAATTGAACTTAGGATAAATTTTCTGAATCTATATTTTTAATATCCAAAAAAGATTATTTTCTGGCAGTATTGGAATTTGAACTCAGGGTCTTGCACTTGAACCACACTATTGACGTTTTTTTTTTTTTTTTTTAAGGTAAGATCTCAGGGTTTTGCCCAGGCCAGCCTCAGACCATGATCTTTCTACCTATGTATGCCTCCCAGTAGGTGGAATTATAGTCACATACTACCACATCTGGCTTGTTGGTTGGGATGATGTCTCACTGACTTTTTTGCCAGCATTTGCCTGGATCTATGGTCCTCCTAATACATGCCTTCCGTATAGCAGGGACTACTTATGTGAGTAATCATGCTCAGCCCAAGATTATTCTTAATTTTGTTCACTTGGGCTTGGGGTTAAAGCCAATGTAGGGAACACGCCTTGATAATGGGCTGTGGTCCTCACTCCCAAGGTTTGCTGTAGGAACAATGCCACATGTGTCTCAGTGCTGCAAGTTTGCTGAGGCATTGCCAGTTTTGTCTTTGAGAACTGAATGGAAGAAGACTAGCAATAAATCAGTGCCCTCCTGCAGTAGCCCTGCCAGTTAAAGACTTCATTACTTATGTTAGCAGACCCAGTGATACAGTTTTGTTTTGCTTTTTTAGTTTAGTCTTATAAAAACCATTGCAACTTATTAAGCAAAAAAAAAAAGTGTATGATTTAAAGGGAACCTTAAATTTTGTAAAACTAGGTAGTATCAAATCACTTTAAATTAGGACTAGAAAAATGTGGTGTTTATACACAATGGAATTTTAAAAGAAGAACGAAATGTTATCATTCGCTGGTAAATGGATGGAATTGGAGAACATCATTCTGAGTGAGGTTAGCCTGGCCCAAAAGACCAAAAATCGTATGTTCTTCCTCATATGCGGACATTAGATCAAAGGCAAACACAATAAGGGGATTGGACGTTGATCACATGATAAAAGCGAGAGCACACAGGGAGATATGACGATAGGTAAGACACCTAAAAAACTAGATAGCATTTGTTGCCCTCAATGCAGAGAAACTAAAGCAGATACTTTAAAGCAACTGAGGCCAATAGGAGAAGGGGACTGGGAACTAGAGAAAAGGTTAGATCAAGAAGAATTAACCTAGAAGGTAACACACATGCACAGGAAATCAATGCGAGTCAACTCCCTGTATAGCTATCCTTATCTCAACTAGTAAAAACCCTTGGTCCTTCCTACTATTGCTTATACTGTCTCTTCAACAAAATTAGAGATAAGGGCAAATTAGTTTCTGCCAGGTATGGGGAGGAGGGGCAAGGGGAGTGTAAGGGAGGATGTGGAGGAAGGGGAGAGAAATGACCTAAACATTGTATGCACATATGGATTAAATAAATAAATAAATTAGGACTAGAATGTTGTAATACATAAATAAGTATAGTCTAAGAATAAAAAATCTGTATGCTTCTATTACTTTACAGAGAAAACATTAAATATACTGTTTTACTTGTTTAAAAAATCAAGATTATATTAATGTTTTTATCAAAATGAAATCTTTCTCCCCTTGCCACAGGCCTTCAACCCACCCACTTCCAACAATAATCAGCTCCACCTTACTCTGTTCTTGGGAGGCCAGGCTTCTCAGCCAGCAAAGACTACTTCAGTAGAAAAAAAGAAATTGAATAATAAAATCAGAAGTAACAGCAATAACACACACACACAGTGTTGAAGTGTGTACATATAGAAAGACTGAGATCTTATCCAAAATTAAGCATTATTTTAGGCTTGAGGTTCATCATCGTGACTAATATATCACAAATTGCCCTTCGTTATTGAGGATACATTTAGAGTCATTTCATTATAGCTACTGTGGCTGTAAGTGGCAAGTAAACAACTTCACCCATAATTCTGATCCACTGTTTACAGAGGTAGTGTTGTGCCACTAAATTTATATGTGGCAGTGCTTCTCTTCTCTCTTACTGTGTGGGTTTGATGTTCTAAATAAAGTAATATTCCAGATTGTTGAGGCTCCAATATTTTTATAATCTTGTCTATTTTAGGTAAATCTTTCTGAGACGTATAACAGACTTCTTTTTGTAAAGCATATATGAAATATAATCTAATCTCCTGTGTTTCTTTCCTGTGGTGGTTATTTTTCTCTACGTGTCCTTGACATGAAGACATTCCCCCAAGATGCTCTCTTCTGTTCCTGTTTCATAGTTCCCTAAGCTGTAAAGTTTTCTGTGTGAACCATAACTTACACAAATTGAGGTAGTTTTATATTTTTTTCTGTTTTGATCTTTATGACTGCTTTCCCATGTCCTGTTTCACTGACCAGGACCTCTAGTCTAGCATTGAATAGAACTGAGAGAGTGGACGTTGTTCATGATGCAATATTAGTAGCAGGGTTTTTTGTTGTTGTTGGTTTTTTTTT